TCAGGAATAAATTTGAGGATTCTTGTCGACACAAATAGCAACTTAATCACCTGATATTATACAACAACTGTGAGGTTATAATGCCAGATGTATTTAGCAATATTTAAAGAATGCATGTATACTTTAATTACCGTAGAACATTATTCACAAAAATAGTAGCTAAATGTGGTCATACCACCTTCCTGCTACCTAATTTACAAGTTTCACATCGGTCGATATTGGCTGCTTTTTCTGACTACCAGAATGTGATACAACGAGGGAAGGAGTAAATATCTCTGTTCTGATGTCACAAATTTGTCACCTTCTTGAAAGTACTTCTTATGTTAGTTACTTAAAGAGTTTCTTGTCGTCATGATCGTTGTGACAGGAACTACTTCCTTAGCCACTTTTCTCGGGCTACGCCATCGTTTGTCTGTAACATTACTCAACTTTACTAAAACTCTATTTTGTTATGACTAACACTGACTATTTTCAGCATCTTTGAATTTAATTTGCTGGTTGAAATATTCATTTTTTAGATGAGAATTTATTGTGAGAGATCGTGAAACTGAACTCTTCTCAGTTCTTCTTAAGCAGGATCGGAATGTCTGAAATCGTCTAGGCTGGTGATTTTACACTACTGATACTATGTTGGACTGATCTATCTACCTAGCCACATTTAAAGCGAGTTGACATTTCGAGATGAAATACTTCACACAATGAAGTCTGAAACTCACTTGACATGACTGACTCAGTCAAGTGAAACGCTGGAAACACCTTCACTACTTCTACTACTTACAGATAAAAGCAGTAGTATGAAGACACCCAAACACACGCCGGTAGTATTCTCTAGTAAGTTGGAGAAGTGATCAAAGCCTGTGAGAATTGTTTTGTTCATTCGGCTTTCAGCTCATTACTAGTTCAGTTATTTTAGGCTTTGATGTGGTTTTCTTCTCTGAGCTCATATCTATTTTAGGCTTCTAAATGAAATGTTGTTTTTCCTGAGAAATATGGATGAAATTGCATCGTGTAATGTGAATTAGTGAATTAACTACTATGGATTTTTGTACGTGTGATTTCTCACGGTTTTTGTTGCACTAAATGATCCGATCTCTTGTAGTGAAGAGATGCGTGGTATGTTTTGGCTAGCTCATCTTAAGTATATCCAAAAGCAAGTGTTTTGTATACGTGATGGCATTTGTTGCATAGGTCAGGCAGCCGATATCTGTTGATTTTCAGTTTATGTTTTGTGGTTGGAATTATTCCATGGTCAGAAAACCTCTCATAATCTCTTCCGCTGCAACGATATCAGAACTCTACTGAGACTGATTAACTCATGATTTGACGTTGATAGATTTGAAATAAATGAAGCCAACTTGAGATGTTTAAGTCAGTTTTTTTACTTTTATCACCCAACTTAGATTTCATGTTTATTGGCATGAAAGACCTTGGAAATATCCACTCCAAGTTGTTCATCATGAAGTTTGGAAACTGTTTGGCACATGATTGGAATGTTATTCCATCAGGAAATGAAAATTTCAGTCACAATTTTGTGTGAATATGTTGTAGCTGAATATATAATGGATATTTTAGAGTCCTACAAAGTTCATCCCTTCGATAGCCTTAAAATAAACCGCTTTAAATGTCAGAATGCTACTTTTAATTTCTAGACTCATATGGAAAAATTTATTCGCATGATTCTTGAGATATTGACGGCACTATGCTAGGAAATAAGTTAAATACTGTCTGCCTTCGTGCCAGTTCCTCTTCCGATCTTTGTGAGTCATCTCAGATCTTGTTGATTTCCAGCGAATATTTCGTTTGACTTACGACAAAACGAATTTGAGACTTTCCGGTATTACTCAACCTCTTCTCCTACAACTCATCATTTAATATATATTCTATCCATTCTTCTTTATTCCTCCCTCCCTATTCTTCCCTGGGCTTCTCGAAAAGAAAGATCAGATTGTATTATGTAAGACTTTGAAGGCTGTAAGAAGGGTTAGCGGTGTGCGACCCAACTAACTGAAGTGGCTACTAACAGTCACTTGTAAGCGATTGGTTAAAGCCATCTTGTCGTATACTTAACAGCCTGTTTTTTTGAAACTTTTCGTTGTACCTCTACAGGCGTAAAAGCAGAAGAAATTTCGTAAGAATTTATACTCGTGTAGTTCAATATAAAAGCTCAACTATATCATGTTAATCACAGGTGTTTTGTGCAGAGGAAAACGTCAGAGAAGACCTTGTAAACCTACTATCAGTGTAATCAGCGAATAAACAGAGAATTGTTGCCAGCATTAGTATGAAATACATTCCCCTTCTATTAAATTCGTTTTTTTAAATTTCGTATATTTCATTCATTTATGAACTCGGTAAGGAGATAAATCACTCTAATACATACAATACTGAAAATTGTATTTTGTGTAAAATTTATTATTCGGAGTAAAGTGATTATTAATATTATTATCATTGGAAGTAGTACTAGTAATTCCCTGATCTTAATCTTAATTTACTTATTTACACATGAGATGGCAGCAGATATGATGACGCTATTATTGCAGACAGCTTAAAAGGAAGAAAAGGTACCTGATGATTGGAAGAAAGGCCGGCTACCCTGGCATACTAACAGAGAAGGGAGACTTACGCTCGCCTCTGCAAGAACTGGCGTGGAATAATGCACTTGTCCACGCCAAATCAAATACTAAGTGGCATTATCCTGGAGAGAATAAAATATGAACTGTATACAAAGCCCCACTATCCACCGGAACAAGCTGGATTCAGGAAAGGCTGATCAAATTACTACTTCACACATCGTCATTGAACAAAGCATAGAATGATGGTCAAACGTCTACCTCATATTCATCGACTTCGACAAGACCTGCAATACAGTTGACCGAGAAGTCATTTAGAGACTACTTCAACTCTAAGAAGAGCAGTGCGTGAATATTTGTCAGCTTCAGTCAACAGCTACTTGAAAATACCACGTGTCAAGTGCCTCACAACGGAAATCTCAGAGAAGCCTTTGAGGTGAGGACAAGACTGCAGGACTACTATCATTCACGGCAAACCTATTTGTGGTGGACTACGGGAGCTAAAGTTAGGATTGCATTGGACCGGTGAGAAGACTCTAGAAGATCTGGACTTCAGTGATGGTTTACGTCTAATATCAGACGAAGATCTACAGGCGAAAATCGACAAGTTTGCAGAAGAGGCTATCAGTGAAGATATAACTTCAGGTGTACATAGAGAGGACTGAATTCATGAAGATGATCGACAAACAATGATAACGAACACCAGTTACCACTAGCTATCAATGTCATCTACCTTCCTTATCTAGGAAGTGCCGTTTCGGCTACAGGCAGTTGCATCGATGACAATGTCAGGCTGGACCTTCATCATTCTGAAACCAGTTTGTGAGCCTGCCTCATTCAGTATGAAGAACAAAATTTGAATATTCAACACAGATTTCAACTCAGTCAGTTATTCCATACTGATCAGATTCTTGGTGAATCACAAAACAGGCTACTGCAGCTCCTTATGCCGTAGTCTCGAAATGAACACTGAGTGGTCAATAAGAGATCCTCGGAAATAACCAGCCAACAACAACAGCAGCAACATCCAACTCCAATCACCATCAACGGGAGGGATTTGAAATAAGTTGCTTCATTCATTCACTTATCTAGGGAGCACTGTTTCAACTACAGGCAGTCGGAATGGACGAGGATGTCAGATCGAGTGAGAATCTGGAAAGCGAGAGAGAAACACATTCATCAACCTGAAACCAATCTGGAAAATTAATCTTTGTCACTCAGCATCAACAACAAAATTCAGTCGGATTTTCAATACAAACGTCAAGTCAGTCAGTTCTTCTATATGGATAAGAAACTTGGCGGGCAGGTCACAATGAATATTTCCAGCAGCCTGTTGCGATGCAGGCGTTTATCAACCAGCAACTGTCTTCGCTGTATCTATACTGAAGATCAGATGACCGGGCCGGAAAGAATCACCATCAAGAAACTATGCGAACAAACAAAACAAGAACCAATCTCCAACCAATAAATATGCAGGAGAAAGTGGAGATGGATGGATTGCACACTCGATGAGGAGCTTCATAGAGCGGATTGGCTGAAGTTGGAATTTATAGGTCACTTAATAGTCATCAATCACTGGCATTCCACGTAACCCAGCAGCTGTGGATTCTATCTGACGGACGGTCATGGGTACTTCCTGTAGAAGCATTGCAAACTAAGACGAGATGATTGTCAAGTACTCCGTGTTTCTTTTCTATGATTCTCTAACTCATGTCGTTTAATGGCCTCACATCAAGATGGAAAAACGTAAACATCTGCAAATCAACGCTTGACAGTACAACAATGTTTTTTTTAATGCAGTTAAGTTTAGATCTGACTTTAAAAGCATAGAAGAGTCTCAAACTTTGATTGAGCAACAGTTTCATCTACTCACAATGACATCTGATGATGATGATTGGTGGTGGTGGTGGAAACTAAACAGCAGTTCAACATTCCATCTGAATAATTAGAATGATTGGAATAAACAAATAAATAAATGAAATGATAAACAAAAATATAATCTTAATAAACAAACTAATCTAAGCGGTTTTTGTTAATTCTCTAACAATTAAGTTTACAGAATGTGTCTTAAGATAGACAGAAGACAAAACCTAGAAGAAACCTTTGGATGTTTAAAAATAGCAATGCAATAGGCATTGGAGAGAATAACTGAAACTAAGATGATTTGTTATTTTCCATGTCATAGTACACGTCCTTTTCTACTTTATAAAATAGCTTAGGTGTTGTGTAATGTTCTCTTGAAGGTTACTGTGATGCTATCTAATGACTGATGGGGTGATATTTTGTGTATGTATGCATGTATGTATGTGTGTGTATGTGTATGGGTGTGTAGGTGTCTCCGTCTTCTCGCATCTTCACCGGTATAAAACGGTATTGAAGAAAACGTTTATTGAGTAAGCTAATGACCAGAACGACATCAAAACTTTCATCATGCATTTACCACGGATGTCGGTTATTCTAACTATTAGTATTATATTTCAATACTGTCTACTCTTTAATGACAATTTCATACAATCTTTATTCATAAAGGAGGATACTGTAAGTTTCGACTATTTTTTTTCATTCCATTTTATTTTATTTTTTCTTTCTAAATATTGATAGAATGATATAATGGAGAGTTTGATGGTATCACGACGTCATGACAGTTTTATCTTTGGTAAAGAATTCATTGTTGAAGTGGTACTCGGTAAAGAGTTGAAACGATTGGTACTGTTCAAAACATTCAGGGTTAGTTTGAAAGAGAAATTTTAAAAAAATAAACATGAATGGTTTTACAAATACATTTTATTGTTTCGTTTTTTTAATTGCCAAGTTTAAATTTTGTCAATTTCTGGAGTAAGAGAGTGACACCATTTAGTTGTTTCTTTCTTTTTCTGGTTCTATTTGTATTGAAGGCAGGTAATTATCATGCATTGGCATAAACTTCAGAATTCTGAGCACATTCAAACCTTATTTCTTTTTATAAACATTCACCTGACTCCAACAGACATCTTTTATTATGGTTAATCATAGCTTGTGTTTCAAGCGGCACATGTTCATTCTCCTTAATTGTCTATACTCACCTTCAGCTGGCTTCACGATTATACACAGGCGTTGATTTCTTACTCCCATGATCACGTCCTAAAATATACTCAGAACCAGTGGAGAAGAAGTTTCTTCACGATGAGTTATTTTCAAGAGCTGTACAACAATATGTATAATTTAACGCAGATTTAATTAAAACCTATCAAATAACAAGCAACTATCTCAAGTTTGATCATGGATTGATATCATTTAGAGAATGATTAGTGAACTAGCTAGAAGTATTGAACAGCTGTTTCGTTCTGGTTTGGGACTATACATCAGTACGCAATCACCGCCAGGACTCGAACCCAATACCTTCCAGCTACAAGGCAATGACATACACCATTCAGTCATTTGGTTAATAAATTCCAACTCATACCAATTTGTACATTTAGCGAGATCATTATAACAACTAGAGGATACCAGATGGGTAATCTAAGTTCAGTGACAGTCTTACTCTGGAAACCGCTGCTTTTTGAGGAAAACTGTTGTTTAATCTGTTGAACATTATAGCCTCATCGGCTAACTTAAATATTTTAATGAGGAATCTACGCTTATCCTCATATTTGCTTAACCTACTGCTTCATATAGAATAAGCGAGTAAGTTCGTCCATGATAGAAAATCTCAAACCTCTTTAGAACTTCTACTTATAGTGGCTATGTTTCATAACTGCATATGTTTCATATTCTGCATAGCATACATGTCCCTTGGTGGAGAACATGACAGTACATTATTCAGGAAAATGTCTACCTAGCTCTCCTAAGTAGGTGACGTGATTTACACATGTAATCAATTCATTTCCTACTCTCAAAGTAGAAGCAGACAAGGATTGGTTACGTATAATTATTTCACATCTAATACGGCATGAGAGACATGCCGATATTTTTGCTCTGAGTGCCCAAAAGAATGTTAGATCTGCTGACATCTTCACCAAAATGAATTCAGTCATCCTCGTCCTGTAGATCAAAGAGAACTTTCAATCGCTTTCTCATGTTTTCGGACATATTCTGTTACTTAAATTATGTAATAATCAATGCAGTTAATTTCCAAAGGCACTCACCGAATGTTGAATAAACGACGTCTTTTCTAAGTGATAATGATATTTCACTGATGTGTGACTGCGGTTTCCTGTCTGAATTAAACTAGTTCAGTCAGTATTTGAGCATTGCATTTCAGTCAACAGACTGCACTACACCATTGTGACCTGCATTCCAAATTTTAATATCTACTACAAACCACTCAGACATCTAAAAACCTTATCCAACACTTATGTGTTGATAACGAATTCTCGAGTAATTCATAGAGGAAAGCTCAGCAAATCATTTTGAGTAAGGACGAGAGTAAGATTAGAATGCCTGCTATCACCGATGACATTCCTGATTGTGATAGAATTGAGTAAATCGACAGGCATGAGTTGGACTAGCAAAAGAAACATTGAAAGGTTTGGATTTTCCAAACAATTCGTGTTGCATGTCTTTCAAACTCGGAGACAGTGAAGGCAAGACATTCAAGTGAACACAGAGAAGACAGAAGTGGGAAAGATACCCTACCAATCAACAACAAGCTCTAATCACCGTCAGTGGGAGGAATCCAGAGAAAGTTATCGGTTTCTCCCATCTGGCTGTACATTATCGTTTCAGCTGCAGGAGATACAGATGAAAATTTCAATGCCAGTCAGGAACAATAGAATAAACAAGGCAAACATTGATTGCGCTAAAACCATGTTGACTGTCATTTGGAAAGTAATTGGAAAGCAACAAGTTGAACGAGCGGCTGAGGTCAACATGGAGGAGATTACGTGACTGGGAAATCAGGTTCGAGGGTGACATAGAGGTGGAGACACCGTGGGGAAGAGATGAGAGCTTTTTTGCAATCATATTACCAGATAAAGAGGACCGCAGACAATAATTCAAAGTGGAAATGTACTATTAAAGTCCTATGTTCCATTCAGAACGTCCAAGACAACAATAATGATGTAATATGATAATAGCATGTATGATCGAATAAAAGACATTTAATTAATTAGGGAATTTTTGAATGATCTGCAAGCCTTGATATTTAATTGTTGATGTGTCGTTATCAGGTTTGATGATTCGTCCAACGCTAACTTCAGTAACAGGTTGGGCGTGTTATGAAAGTTGCACAGACAAAAGAAGACAGAAAACCGTTTTCACGCCATCATATAAGAGGCAGCATGGCTGTATGTATGGAACCAATGATTTCAAAATCACTGTAGTATTGATAGGGAAGGTTTGTAACTAAGATAGACGATATTGGTGTAACGGTGCAATTGAGGATCTTTCACTGTCTTCTCAGGTAACACCTTTTTACTAAATTTAGCAAAGAAGATGTTGTGTAGATAGACAATGAAGGTTTTGCTAACTAAACATCTAGCTCAGAGAATACAACTACTTAGGTAAACACTGTAATTTTGGCCTTTTTCCAATTACTAATTATTTATTTATGTATGAACCAGTAATAATTCTTAAGTCTTTTCTTAAATTTAGAAAGTAATTAAACGGTCTATAGAGTTCTGGTCAAGAATTATGCGACCAAAAGTGCCGCCTAAACGACCCATAAAACTGGAGCGGTAAGCTTTAAAATGTTGTGTATAGTATTCACTGAAAACATATGCACGCAACACTGAATGTATCATCATATAGAATTTTCATCTTCAAGTAAATGGTAAATAGTAGATCTACCAGTTAGACAGAAACAGCTGACCACCACCGATGTATTTGTGCTATAATAAAACACTGGTTATTCTCTCATGTGTGTAGTTATCTATAATATAGACAAAAATAGCATTTCCTGGGTTCAGTGTAATCAGCTGCCTAATGTTCACGGTGCTTGATGTGATTTACATCCAAGACAAGTGAATTACATACTTGTAATGCATCCTGTTTTTAAGGTGACAGTCATCTCAATTAGGCGTTTGTTTTTATCTTCTTGGGCACTCTTCTGTTCATTAGGCTTGATTTAATTTGTCGTAATTTATGACACAACTTCATTTGAATATTTCTCACTTGAAACTGAAGTCTCAATTGTTCATAGGAAAACAACAAAAAGGCATTTTCAGCGAAGAAACACGTCTCCTACATATGGGGGAAAAAGCGGAATAGGAAAATCCCGCGAATATTTTCGAATAGACTTAGACTTATAATGGACATATTTAAGTTGTGTATATATTAGAAGTCTGTAACTCAGGTGGATGATATTAGTGCAGTTAAATTCTCTGAACGGGATTAAAAGTCGAAAATAAACCAGAAAGTAATCTGATAAATTGTTGGTCATGGCAGTGGCGGAGATTGGACGCGCTCTAGCTTGGTTTAGCGATGTCATTGAGAGGCCTATTGGAAACATCCAAAAGGACTATGAAGAATCTATGGAACATTGCTGAGATTTCTTGGTTTGCACCGTGTTCTGTTATTGGAAGTGAAGACATATCTCTGCCCTACTTCTGCTAATCAGACTTGATTGTTTCTGTGAGATCTTGACCATTATTTGTAAAAATAAATTATCGATATGTGATGGAATTTATCCAATCTTAAAAGACATGTAGTCTACCTCCAGACAAGAATGGTCAGCATCAACCAATTTTATAAGATCATCACATGAAAACCAATTCCAAGGTATTTGACTCGACATCTGAACAGTAACGCATGCAAAACCTTTTAAGTGCAACAAACGAATACACTACACTAAAAACACTTAAATGCTTATTGATTTTTTAAAACACCTGATACCAAAATCATGAATGCTTTTATTATTTAGTATACAAATCCTTATGAATAATAACAGATTTCATAACTTCATTGTGTTTTCTTCATTCACTTTACTCGGTCAGTGCTTGTGAACATCGAACTCGGTCTAATTTGATTCCACACAAACATTACTGCATTGGAGGATGTAAAAGCAAGACGTTTTATAATGGAATTGAAATTCGAGAGCGGTATTTACAGGTTAGTGATTAAACTAAATCAACTTATATATATAGTACCAGCATGTTTCCTACTTAATTATTGCATACTCGTAGTGTTGAAAATTAATCTGATGCTTGCTAGTGACTGGTTACTGGACGAAGTTGACAGGAGTTCAAGTGAGAATTCGTGACCAGTAGGATCGAACTGATCGGGGGAATGAGGACAAATACTCGACCCCCCAAATGACACTAGCTGGTGGTCCCTCTGAAATCATCAGTTAGTAGAAGTTATAATACATGGACTGACCGTTGGATCAGGTCCCAGTGGCTGAACAGTCTACGAGCTTCCCTTTTAACCGCAATGTCCCTAGTTCGAACACTGGCATTGGGTGTGCATCTCCGATGAATACCAAACTAGGAAAATACAACTGTCCAGTACTTCTTGTTGGCTTTATATGATTCTTCGACTTATATCAATCCATGGGAAAACTTGGAATACTCGTCAAAGTCTTGCCATCCTAAGTAAACCTAAGTTTGGCAGTACAGCAGAAGATTTGTTGACTGTCAGACTGACTCTTCATAGCTACAGACGATTCAGCCCTGTATTTGTATTTCATTTAATTACTAGTTAAACTTCACTGTTAAATAGTAGTATACCTATCACTTTTCCAGCATTCGTATGATCAATAATTCTTGTTGATACCACACCTCTGTCACTGCATTACTTAACTTATTTCACCAATTACTAATGTACCCATCAAGACAAGTTTAGTTCAGTTTATACAACCAAACATAAAGGAAAGTTGATGTATGAGAGATATTCTTTGGCTTTTGACCAGTCTCTGAGCACACGAAACAGATAAAATATCAAATCAAGTATTTGGATACGTCTAGTGCGCCTTAAAAATGCTTCATTCGAACAGACATTCTGAATGTCATTTGTTCTATGAATTTCTTTTGAAAAAATGTATACCAAACAAATTGTAATCTTTTCGATAACCTCATCATCATCAGGCTCTACAGTTATATATATTTTATAGTGAATGAATGAGTTATTGTTATTAACGACATTAATGTTTAAATAACATCAAATCACTAATATTGATAGATTACAGCTGAATTGCATCAACATAAAATAAACTGAATGTCAGAAGAATTAGGAAAGATAATATTACAAATTCATGATTTTATCGTTTCTACCGAAGACCAGGGCAATAGCAGGGGCTGGGCTTGCTTCTTTTGGACACAGAGTGCTGGTTGTTTGAGGCTAATCGCAATAGCCTCTGCTGTTCGGAGCATGCGGTGCTTCGATGATTTTGGCAATCTATTTTATTATTATTATTATTGTATCCTTTAGTTCCTAGAGGAACATAGGGCTTCAGCTGCGCACCTCCATTGACTTCGGTTTTCTGACAACTTTTCACCCTGCTCCAGGTCTGCCCACATGCTTTCATCTCCTCTTCACATGACCTCCTCCAAGTCACCCTTGGACGACCAACTCGCCGCCTCCTTTCGGGTTCCACTCGAGGGCTTGTCTAGTGATGTCACTTGATGGTTTCCTCAGCGTATGGCCAATCCATCTCCATTTCTTTCTGCCTATTTGTTTCACAATCGGTTCCTGATTGGTTCGCTCCCAGAGATCCCTGTTGGCAATCTATTAGGCACCCGTAAATTATAGAGAAGGATTCTTCCACGCTGGCTGGCTTTGTGGCCAGTTTGCGCTAGACGGGCGAATATCGAGCTGTTAATGGTTTTCACTACACTTTTACTTAGCCATAGTGGGACATGTGCTCGGGCACGAAAAATCAAGTTCCTAGAGCAACGGCCAGTATAACTCGCCCCACAAGCGCGGTTGAATTGGTAGATGCAATTTGAAGTGGCCAGCTAGTCTAGGTACTTCATCTTTCAGTCGAGGTAGCACCATAGGCCGTGTAGAGAATAATACGTGTAGTTCGCCAGCCTTAAAAGTTCTTTGAACTGATTTTCTTAATTTCTTCGCAGTTATCTTGCTTGGCGTATCGCCCATGAATTGTAGTCGTATATAAAGAGGCTTCTTTTTTACAGATGGTGAGTAGCCCTTTACTTATGAGATTTCTCAGCACAGCTTGCGATTTAAATACTAGAGTCATCTTCACTATTACTTGATAAAGTTATTTGCTGTTTGCCTACTGATTTGAAAAGCTAATAAGCAAATTACTTTAACTTACGGATCCTTCTCGTTCAAACAGGATTCCCCGTCTAGCCTAACGTCAAGTACTTTTTTTATAGTCTTATTACCTTGACTATGTTAATTCAACCTAGAACTTCAACAATGAATGACTTTATTTATAAAAAAAAACATCATGCGTACACAATAATCACATATCTGTGAGCTTCATAAAACAAACTCATTGTATTCCAAATTCCAACTCCATATAACGTTAATTATTACCTCTTATCTGTGCCATAAAATGCGATAAGTATTTGTAATCAGTAAATTCTGTTGGATCTTCCTGTCACTCAAAATAAAAATAGTTCTATACTTTATACCGTGTGATATTTCTGCTAATTTATTTCCATTATAGAATATAAAGTGGAATATGAAACGTGACATGAAATGCCATTCCATTTCATAAAATTCCACCCTTAAATATTGTTAGTGAAAATTGCTACCTTCTTATAAGAAATCACCCTTTAATCCACTGTCCACATTTACTAACATCACAGTATCATTTAATGCAAAGTAAAAACACTGGCCACCATTCCGAGTACATTTCAACATAAATCGACGTCAACTTGAGAAATATTGACACAACCGAGAAGCCTAGAATTCTCGCCTCACCTCTTTACAATATTCGTTTAAGACAAAACAGTTATTTAACGCCTCTTGGTTCTAAATGATTCCTGAGTAATGTCATCGGAATCTATGCAAACCTGAAAATCTGAAAGAGACTATTTTTATATCATAAAATCCGCTTTAACCAAAACACTTTTCAGTCTGAGATAAACTGAAGTGTCTTAGAAAATCAGTGGGAATTCAACTGACTTACTTCGACTGCATCTCGAAATATGAAAAAGGCAAGAAGAAGAAGTGAAATTTAAATTTGAAGCTGATGACAAGATACCAACTTGTATCCACTCTAATTAAAAACCTTAGTAAATTACTGTTTCGATCTCCAGCTGACATCAGTTGGACAACTGTCGGAGAACCAGAGAGTAGTTGACATCTGTTTCTCCCTAGTTTGAGACTCTTCATCATCACGCAGCCATCACCACGTATGTTTCGAAACTGGCAACTTCCTGTTATTATAAGGCGATCTTGTAGACCCTTGGATCCGATTTCATCGACTGAATCAAGTGCAAGCTCACCTTGTGATTGGAAGGTCCTTGGTTCGAATCTCTACGGGTATATACTGATGAAGGGTGGATTAATAGGAATAAACATCTGTTCAGTAACCCCTAGTTTTCCAACAGTCCCCTAAATGGTGTCAGCTTTCGACCTAACCTGGAACTAATCAAATCTCTACAAACCAAAACTTGTAAGTAATAAATTATTCTTTGTGAAATAAATTATCAGTGAAAATCGAGAATGGATTTAGAGGAAACACTAGAAAGGACTTAAACTTGGTCGATTTCAGTGTCCACCAGTGACTAGTCATTAAATTATACCAATACAAAAATTGCAAGAGTTTCGATTTACTTGAAGGACCAAGTTTGGAAGAGGAGAACCTCGTAGTCATAAAGATCACTGAGGTTTCAGGTGATCATCAGCTGAAGTGTAGTAGTAGAATAAGATGAGCTACATCAGCCTAGTAAGCATCATTTTTCCCTAACGTTGTGAGAAATCAATGGCTTTCTCATTGATATATAAATAAAAACTTTTGTTTTTTGGACACATTGCTCTATATACTACTCATAACGCCTTACAAGTAGTACAAGAAATTGTGTGAACTCACATAACTCCCAATATATAAAATAAATGCTACCGCTGTATACTCTTAACTAGGTTTTAAAGCCTGTTTATGAGGAGCAGCATGTAGCATTTACTTTTATGCATGATCAAATTAAGAAATACAAGAAGAAAAGTAGCCTACTTTAGGTATTCTAAAGAAATATTTTTCCGAAAATCCAAAAATTGGCAGAAAATTCAATGTGTAAAATCAATAAAATTTTACAGGTCACACGGATATCTTACACTGTGAAGAATCCATACCCTACTAAGTGATAAGACGAATCAATGAAAAGGAACAGTTGACTCAACTACGATAGTTGTGGCGATCAGATGTGGAAATAAATCGATTACTGATATTATTAAGAAGGAATATTTTGTTCAACAGTAGAACTAACCTTCCTTTTTATCTACACTGTGATTTTGCAGGATTGTCTTTCCTCTGAAGAAGACGTCATGAATTATGAAAACGAAATAACAGAAAGCCCTAAACATCATTTCCTTCTTTTTCTAACTGCAAATGATAGAATGTGCGGTTTAACTGGCCTGGCTGCGGAGTATACATACAACCAAGATCCTGATACGGACAGGTAAATAAAACTGATATATTGTTTCTAAATGTATTCATTATTATATTAATTTTAATTCCCTTGAGTTCCGAGTGGAACATTCAAATTCAACAGAACATCGCCACTTTCTCCGTTTCTGTACACTCCCCTTCAGCTTGGTCCACAATTATCCATTCACCCTCATCTCCTTCTCATTCTCCTCTTCCTCCCCCTCCTACTCTTCACACAATCTCTCCCATGTCACCATCAAACCCCTGCGCCCACACACACAACTCGTCCTATCCTCTTCGCCTTACACTCGACTGATGGCTAGTGTTCTGTGTCTTCTCAGCCGTCTTCTCAGACTGTGTCCAATTCCTCTTCCATTTCGTCGATATACTGGTTTAACGGTAGGCTATTGTTTGACCAACATTGACCAACACATTTCTTTGCGGTAATTCTCTGCACCTGGCCAAGTGATCTTCAGTATGGAACCAGCGAAGACAGCTGTCAATAAAATTCTGCAGTGGCCTAATGGGAGCGGCTTTCGGTTACGCACTAAGTTTCTGACATATTATGACGTACATGTACAGTTATATATATATATATATATATATATATATATATGTGGGTTGTATGGTGACATGGGAGAGATTGTGTGAGGAGTAGGAGGAGTAGGGGGAGTCGGAGGAGGAGTGGTGAGATGAGGTCTAGTGGAGAATAGTGGAGCCAGTTGAAGGAGACTGTAGAGGAGAGAAGAATGTGGCTACGTTCTGCTGAATCCGATTTTTCCTTTCGGCACCCAAGAAAATAATAATAACACTAATAAATTCACCGTGTTTTCACTAATTATTGGGCCATTTTATTTTTAAATTCTTTATATCCTCCAAAGATCAGTCTCTAATTAATTTGTTCTTATTCCCAGTTACTCATGGAATTTTTTTAACAATGTTTAAGTTTATTCCTTTTCCTTAATTATAATTTTTGTGTTTATTTTATTCATCTCTAGACCACTTGCAGCTGTGATTGTATTCTGCAGAGCAATAAGATTCCTTTCATCGAATCCCATTCATTTGAAGCATATACTACTGCATGAATTGGCTCATGCATTTGTAAGTGAAAAGTTTACATTCATTTCTTGGCATGCGCTTATCAACTGAAACAGATTAACATATGTTAGTTAACATGGTATACTGTATACTTCCGGTTGTCAAGCAAGTCAACATATTTCAGGGAGGAGTTACTTTCTAATGTCACTTACAGAAATAACTTACAGTAAGGCGTCTTCCAGAGTTGTTTGAACTTCAGCGACATAAAAAAATAAATGTTTGATCTGAAAACCATCGGGTTTCTAGGGTTGCACGTTAAACTTCCATCATTAAATCACTAGAAGTTTGATGTTGTATGACTCATAACTTTTGTTCACCCATGCACATGGTCCAGGGTTTTGATCCCTGACCGACGCATACCTGATACCAATGGTGGGTGGAACTGATAAATTTGGGCTACCGATATCAAATGCCGAAAATTACCTACTTGTATCAAAAATACTGTGTGGAGTCGAGCTTCAATAAAAATAAATAGAAATAATCACCATTGTATCTTATCACTGAGACAATGCTAACCCTCTTTCCAATTGTTTAACTTCACCAATCACAAATTCTGACTAGAAATTTCTATAGGCCTACCTCAAAGCTATATAACAATGAGCACTCTACTGATAGGCATGAATTTATGAGTACTATTACTATAAAACACAAAGTAATTGAGCAAAGAATATACTTTTCGATAAATTCCTCTTCTGGCTCTACAATTATATGCATATGTTTATAAACATAAAATATTCTAGAATAGTAGTCACTAACAATATTAGTGTTTTTAAATAATATCGACTTTTAAAGTAAGATTAATGGAATTACTACAGTTCATTAAACATGCTTAAATTTTAATAATAATAAAAATATAATAGCAAATAGAATATTAACTAAAAGTAAGGGAAATTTCCACAAAAATTGAGGATCATTCAAACCTAGATGGCCAAGGCAAGGATAATGTCTGAAGCAACTTCTTTTGGACACCTAAATTAGGCTTATTAATATGGATCCTTACAGCCTCAGCGATATTTAGTAGTCGAACTCTTAAGGCAAAACTGAGATTCGTAGGTATGCGGTAAATGACTTTGAAAGCTTGGTTAAAGTCAATTTTGTGTTCTCTGTCCACAAGAGGAGATAGAATAGCGCTGCGAATAGATTTTGTTTGTCCTTTACTTAACCATGCAGAGTGCTGTTCAGAAATTCGACGAAGAACACGCCTAATTGTACGGCTTATTCGACTAACTGGCTCTACAGGAGCAGTTAAATTGATAGATACACATGGAATAGGCGAAGTTAGACAGTTTGTCTTTTACTCCCGATCGCAAAAAGAGGAGTGGTTTTGAAGACATAGCGTAATTCAGAATCAGGGAATGCTGCTTTTACTGCATTTCTAGGGCGCCGTGTTAGTATCTCGCTGATGTTGTTCGAATAAAGCCTTTTTAGGAACTGTTGGAACCTTGGGATGCTTTGATTTTAGATTCATATTCTTATCAATAAACTTTTTCGACAACCGTTTTCAATCAGCAACTGTTTAATATTATTAAGTTCCTCATCAAGACATTCATCTAAGCAGATTGCACTTACTATGTGAACCAAGCATTTTATCAGATTGCGTTTGTATTTTAAGGGTCTCGAAGTTGAAAAAATGAGTATACTGACCGGTTGATGTAGGTTTTCTATATACACTTCTTCTTATTGTGCCATCCTCTTTTCTATAAACTATAGGAACATTATTTTTCTGACTTACAAGACTCTTTAAAACATGTAACAGATCTAGACGACATGTGTGAAGTTTGCAGACAAAGAAGGTTACAGCTGACAGATTTTCAAAATGAGCTATCTCCATTCTGTACAGAGTAATGATAATATTGATATATATATATATATATATATATATTTGTATATTTCAACTAACTTTGCATTTATCGCCTGTTTTTCCCTAAACTGTATATCATCGTTCCCACGTTGGTCTATCGTCATCTTTTGGCCTAATCCATATTATTTGTCTTTCTCCCCGTTTAATCTCTAATTGTTATGCTTCTCTTTGTGATTATGCCACACATTGATAATGTGTTGTTTCACAATGTGATTTTATTTGAGTGAGTCAAGGTGATTCCGACTTTAGACTGTCTGTAGAAATTGTTGATTTGTGATTCTTGTAGACAGAGTTTTGATCCTAGACTGTTGGGATCTTCTCCTTGATTCTCATGTACTTCTTACAACGGAATTGCAGTGAACTGGTTTCCTTCTACAGTACTTGATGTACACATTTAGAAGTTCTCTTGACTGTCTGTAGCTTTGCCTAACGACACTGTTTAGATCATTTGGAGCTTTCATGTTATTATTCTTGTTGAATAGAATCAAATAGATCTATCAACAAATGGCCGTCGGTATGCTGTCTTCAGGGCATTTTACGACCTCGTATGTCTCCTGTAAGTTTTCAACAAGTTAACAGTAAAGATCAGTTCCTCACATTCAGACAACAGCAAGTCAGTTTCAGTGGTTACTACTAATAGGATATCTGACTTATTAAGTAAATACACATTAACATCTCGCATTGACCATTTCTAGAGTTATACTTGACGAATAACCAAGTGAATCAACTGATACGTTATTTTTTGTATTCACTTCACTCTTAATTGAAGAGAAGAATCTGCTCAGTTTACCAGGCCCTTTAAAATAACTCCTATGTATTCAAATATTCATACTCCTAAGAACTAACGACTGTTATTTTAATTATATAGGGGTTTTCATTTAACATGTTTCCTTATCTGCGTTACGATGATGGTACTCCCAGGACACAGAGAGATCCACGAACTGGAGAACCAATTTAGACAAAACAGTAAATAACGGCCTACCGGCTGAAGAGTAAGCTGAAGTTTTCATCAATATACGTAAAAGGAACATTTTATATCACTTTTATGAAATGCTGATATTACTCAGTGAACTTTATAGATTTCATGCTGGAATATCATTGTCAACCTTCGTAGATTTTGCTTTTCAAATTGTGATATGACTTGTGATGCCAGTATATTCTACAACTTCATATATTTGGTGAAAGTAGAACTAAGGCTGTGATATTATGAAACTTTGACATATGCTATTGAAGACACATAGGACTAGATGTTACTCATTTGGCAGTGTCTAGCAGTCTTATAGTGGAAGCGAGTTGCCACGTATTCAGTCTCATTATCTGGATATACCCGCGTCTTCAGTGAGTCATTATTATCCTTGTTTCAGTAAGGAAACTGTTAAATACTGAGGATTTAAGTGTACTTAACCGATGAGGCCCGAATTAGACGAAGCACGCGTCTTAGATTTCACTAATTCCTATCAATCAAGTCTCACTATCTTCGTTCCAAGAAGCGTTTTTTAATTTGAGGCCGACTTGTCAGCAAAGACTTGATATTTCCACAAGATATAATCAATCAGTAAAATGTTCAGGCGACATAGGACTAATCAAACTGCTTTTTGGAATGCTTGATTTCTGATTTTCATTATGAATCTAAAATCGCACTTTTTGGGCTTAGCTTGAGCAGCAACTTACCAACTAATTGTCATAAAATATATTCTTAACTCAATCCATGCTAGTTAGCGAACGATTGGTCACCTTCGTAAGATAAAAGATGGTGGCTGAGACATCGTAGAGACTACAGATCATGTTCATTTCTACCCAAATAATCTTTTCAACAATTAAGAAGTATAATTGTTCAGGTTAGTTTGCCTGAAAACAGTAGCTCTCAAAAGTAACGTTTTGTCACCGAAAAGTCTACTGGTGTGTTTCCAAATGGTTCTACTTGTAATAGGTGGGAATTTACTTTGATTATAGTTGAAATCAGCAGGCAATCATGGAGTAATGGATAACTGTTTGTCACTCTTCAATGGTACGCACCCCATGAACTCACCAGGGATGGAAGCCAGGATCCTTATGTTACGAGATCATTTCGTTGATTATCCAGCCACCATTCAGCTAGTGACATACAAATTCTAACTTCCTCCGATACACGATATAAAAATGGCAGTCACCAGTCAATGTCATTAGCGAGTATTTGATCTCACAACTGACTTGTTGATTTCAGATGTTCATAACTTTGTACCCCAGCATCTGGAAATTAGTCAAGTCCCTGCAGATAATTTGTTTTTACGAGTTTGACCAAGGATTGATATGAGTTAGAGAACCATTGAAAACCAGCACTAGAGTACTGGATAGCTGTATGATCCGCCTAGTTTGGGAATCATTAGCAGTACGCACCCAGTAGGTGAATGGTACACGAGCCAGCATGCCTTGTAACCGGAAGGTCTTGGGTTCGAACCCTAGTGGGTGCGTAATGCTGATGATTCTCAAACTAGGCGGATGAAACAGCTATCCAGTACTCTAGTGCTGGTTTTCAATGGTTCTCTAACTCACATCAATCCTTGGTCAAACTCGTAAAAACAAGTCTAATCCTTACAAACCAACTCTTGAAGATTAATCTGATGCTTGCTGGTGACTTGGTACAAGACGAAGTTTCCTGGAGTTCTAGTGAGAATTCGTGACCAGTGAGGTTCATCCAGTCAAGTGTGCGAGGATGGATGTCCCACCGATGATATTGGTTGGTGGTGGCGCTAAATAACGAGTTGGTAGAAGTTAGAACTCATGAGCTGGCCACTGAATCAGGTCCCAGTGGCTGAATGGTATACGAACCAGCTTGCCTTGTAATCGGAAAGTCCTGGGTTCGAACCGCAGTGGGTGAGTACTGTTAAATCCAATTGATTAATCATATAGAAAATATCATATGTGAATTAATTTTTGAACATTTTACAATAACTGTACCTCGTTTATTGTACTTCTTTTTTGATTTTTCAGTAATACTATAGTATATGTTAAACGAAAATGGCATTCAGCTAAAGAGAATAACAATTATGAGAGAATCAGTCTGACTCTGCGTAGCGTTGTAGTAAGTTAAATTGATGATTAAAAACGTCTTCTCTATGAAATTATTTATAGATGAACATTGGTGAATTTACAACAACGACAAAATCGACATGAAACCAAAGACCACTGAACAGCAGGTTTGTGATATGTGTGTGGAGGGGGGAGGGGTAAAAAAGGGCATTGCTTTGCTACTTATCCATTCACCCGTTGAGTCTTGTCAGCATAGGAAATCTGAGGTGTAACATTAACAGGGGTATCTGGCCCACATGCTATTTAAGAATACTGAATTAAAGCAAATTAGCTGTTCACTGCGTTTTTTGGTTTCAAATACATTTCAAATCATTCATGCTTTCTAATGATGTCCATATTATAAAAGGATAGAATCCTCTAAAGACCGTGACTGAAGTTCCCTATATTTGGATACAGTATCTCAACATGTACTCACTATGCCTAAAAGATTTGACATTAATCAAAGAACCATTGGAAAGCCAAAGAATACTGGACAGTTGTTTCGTAATAGTTCGGGACTCTCTAGCAGTACGCATCTTTGGGCAGTGACCAGTGGGTGACCGAAGTGAAGATAGATAATCTTTGACAACATTGGATAGTGGCTGCGGTAAAATTACGCACTTGACAGAGGTTGGAGTCCATTGATCAATGGATCGGGTTGCATTGGCTAAATGGTTTGAAAGTTTGACTTGTATGCGGGGTCTCAGTTGGAACGCTGGTGTGCACCTGCCGATGAATGCCGCTGAAATAGAGCGAAACAGCCTTTTAGTACTCCCTGGTTTCCTAATGCTTCTCCGTCTAAAATAAAACTTCCTTGTACCTGCATGCCCTACATTTATTTCCAAAATATAAGACAGGATGAAGTAGAATTTGGTTAGAATTAAGCCAAAGACTTTGGGTCATGGGGATGTTGGCTTATTCATGGGAGCTGAGAAACTACAAGAAACATTAGGAGTAATCAAAACCCATCGAAGTTTTTTCTATGATAACGTCTGATAACTAAAGAGCAGTAGTTTTATGCAAGTTGTTCTTACAGAAAAACCTGAGACCACTAATGGTTTTGTGTAATGTTAATTCTCATTTACACATTTAGAAAAGACATCAAATTAAGCGGAGAAGTACTTTACTTTTCAATTAGCTCCTCATCATTGTCCCTACACTAATAAATATATAGCTACTTACATCTAATTGTACCAATCATACAACTATCGGAAACTTAGTGGTCTTGTTGAAAAAAAAGAAATAATCACTCATCAAAACAATTAAATGATAGATGTTAGCGACAGGGTATCAAAATTTTGACGAGATGAGGTGAACGCCACTTAAGGGAATTCAAGATCAGTTACATTGCAGAGGTTAGTGACAAGTTGTAACACAATCAGAAAACGTATAAAATAAAGACGATTAAGAAGGATAGAATGATTAAGTGGAATCACGTAACACTACCAAGTAACAAATAAGGAAACTGAATCAGCTAGAATTATAATAATAAAAAAAGTTGAAAAATAGTTACAAGGAGAGGGGAAAGTTGTTTGTATAAGTGAATACATATTACGTAGTTGGTTGAGGCAAAGAAAGGGATTTCAAAAATTTCCTTTAAACACACAAGTTTGATTTGCTTATGTGAATTCCCATTGCCCCTGGTGTATACTGAAGCCATACCCGTAAAGCGTGTCAAAGGTTGGATGGAATACGACAAATATCTTCAAAAGCTTTGTTAGAGTCATTTCGGTGTCTAGTATCGAAGAGATGAGCTGTTATGGAGCTATGTTTAGCTTTATTCGGACCTTTGTTAAAACAAGATTGGAGGTGTTTAGAAACTGAACGATGGACTCGGCTGATCATGCACCCAGTGTAGCTAGCTCCGCATAAGCAGTTCTACCGGAAAATCCACCTGGAAGACGTGGATTAGGCCAATTTGTTTTCACTTTTTGAACTTAGTATTAGTTGGTTACGCTTTTGCATTAGCATTTTTATACAATATATTATCCATGCTACAGGCCGTAGTGGTTATATAACCTAGTTGACCCACAGTGGTCAGTTGTGCTACTATTGTGGAGTTGTATCGACGATGTTATCCAGATAATTAACTCTCGGTCTCTGTGGGATAGTGAAACTAAGATACAAAACGAATCTGTGGAGACTGTTGGCTTGAAAAGTATTAGCTGGTCTACGATCTAAGAGATTACCGAAGACTTTAAACTATATAGCCTTATAACTGAACGTGACTGTATAGGTTGCATCGTACATTAAGCCATGGGGAATAGTAACAACACGTCTCTTTATTTATTTTATAATCGCTGATTTCCCCACATAAAGCCTATTCTCCTTTATACGAAAATTTCAAATGGAGTTATCTGGAGAGTAAATTATTAGTGTTAAGTTTGCTGCTGATAATCTCTATTCACCTCCTAAACCTACTGCCTGCGATTGCCATGAATATTGAAAAACAGTAAAATTCAAGAGACTTAAAAGTGGCTGCATAAGTGAATTTCAGTGTAATAAGTTCCAAGTTCACTATCAATAAAAATCACTGTTAAATCTAATAAGAAGCGAATTGAATTCACAGACCACGCTGAAAAATAAACTCAATTATAGCCAATTTTTTTTATTTCTTTATGCTTCCAGTGGAACATAAGGCTTCAGGCTAGAGGCTTGAGGTTTCATTGGCAATGGTGTTTATTTTTACGGGATGCGGTTGTTAGCCTAATGCCCAAACATTCTTCTTTACTAGTCTTGTTGCTGGTTTGGCTAGGTAAGGGAATGCATCAATAGCTGGAGATCGAACTCCGAACTACATGCGTGGTTGGCGAGCATTCTACTGACGCATCTATACTCAATTTAGACAACCTTCATACATTGAAAAAAAGTAAAATTTTTAACTTCTCTACAGTTGAACAGTATTTTTGTGTTTCTGTTTGTTTTGTATTTTTATATTAGAATTTCGCAAGAAATCACTTCAGATGTGATAAACTTACCTCAGTCGACCTGGAATCAGATGGTACTAGAGGCACTCATTCAATGCATTTTGAGCGTAGATTAGCAATAGTAAGTTGGGTATTTAAAAAAAATTTTTTTCTACTAATTGTTTCTCTGGTTCTCGATTTTCACAATCAAGATTGATAAGAACAGGAACTTTTCACGATAATGAATATGAACTTACATTTGTATTGTGTTAATTTTCAGGGTGAATTGATGGCTGGTTATGTTGATATTATGCCGGCTACTTCCAATCTAACCCTGAACTACTTCAAAGATACAGGGTAATTTTATTTAAAGTTTTGTTATGTTTACAACCTAACTCTTTGTTAAATGTTTAGAAATATTCATTGTTTAAAATAATAATAATAATAAGAGTACCACTCAGCTTCTTAAATTCGTTAGTATATGTTAACAGTTATTGAGATTTTATGTAAGGCTCATCTCATTTCCCCTTTGAGATAGGTGACATAAGCGATCTATCAATATATTCATTAACAGTATTCAAGTACCCCAAATATTCATCAATCTTATTCAACAGCTGTATGATAACGGCACATATCAAGTCATCCACAACGGAAAACTCACTCAGCGAGGCATTTGGAGTAAACATTGGAGTCAGACAAGGGTGCTGGCTTATTATCGCCAATGATATTCCTAATTGCGGTGGACTGGATTACGCGTCAGACAGTGAGTGGGAAGCGAGAAAACAGGGATATCCTGGACCGACCGACGTGAAGAGCCTAGAAGACCTGGATTCGTGCGGGGGTGATTTATGCTTGAGATCACACAAAATCGAAGACTTACAAGCGAGCGAAAACCGACCGACAAACTGGTCGAAGAAGCAGCCAGAGAAGACAGGACTCCAGGTGAACACAGACAAGACGGAGGTGATGAAAATAACCAACCAACAACAACAACAGCAACATCCAGCGCTAATCACCATCAACGAGAGGGATTTGAAAGAGGTTACTTCATTCACTTATCTAGCATTGAGGATCGTCTCAACTACAGGCAGCCGGAACGGACGAGGATGTCAAATCGAGCGAGAATCGGGAAGGCGAGCGAGCAACACATTCATCAACCTGAAATCAATCTGGAAATCTTCGTCACTCAGCATCAACAACAAAATCCAGTCGGATTTTCAATACAAATAGCGTCAAGTCAGTTAGTTCTTCTATACGGATCAGAAACTTGGAGGGGGGTCACAAAGAATATTTCCAACAGCCTGTTGCAGGCATCTATCAACCAACAACTGTCTTCACTGGCTCTATGTCTGTCTGTCTGGATTCAACATAGAACTTGGCACCGAAGTGCAGCAGTTCCACTTGCCACGTTCCAGATAGTACACAAAGGTAGACAAGAAGATGAGTGAAGAGAATCAATAGAGTTTGAAAAGTATAAGAGCGAAGCAGAATGGATAATGGTAGCAAGAATTATGAAAGATTACAGAGACTGAATACATCTGCGCTGGCCATTGACAACGATTTTGAGCCATGTCACCTATTGTCTCCAGCCATTGATTCCTAGAGTCCCGAGGGCCCCAACCCGGAAGTCTGCATCTCCCTACCTGACTCAGTTTAACTGTCAAGGATTTCATGGATGATGATGCCATGTTTTTGTTTGGCCACCACTGGCTCTTTTCAACCTGCACCTATATCAGCTAGTAATGCCCGTCGGGGGAGGCGATGGTTAGGCATGCTCAGCACGTGACCTAGCCATCTCAGTCTATGTAACTTTATAGTCTCGTCGATTGCTTTTCCCTGTTTGCCCAACACTCTACGCCTAACGTCAACATTACTTACCTTATTAAACCACCTAACGTGAGACAGAAATTGCAGAAATCTATGATCGAAAGCAGTCAACCTTTTCATGTCTTCAACGCGTATTTGCCATTTTTCAGAGCCATAGAGAAGGACGGAGCGAACTGATGAGCAGTACACACGTCCCTTGGTTGATAACCGGATATCACGCCTACGCCAGAGATGGTGTAAGTCAGCGAAAGCAGCTCGAGCTTTTTGGATCCGTGCTGAGATGTCGTCGTCAACCAGTCCATTGGTGCTGATACGATTTCCCAGATAGGTGAAGTGGTCAACATGTTCTATCACTTCACTCCCTATCACTAAGCTAGGGGTTGACGTAGTCCAGTCCTGTAGCAGCATCTTACATTTTGCAGGGGCGAATCGCATGCCAAACATACGAAGATTTCTGCTCAAGGTGCTCAGAAGACTCTGCATTTTGTCAGCATACTCCCTAACAGGACTATGTCATCCGCATATTCTAAGTCCATAAGACTATTCCCTGGTAACACGTCGATTCCTAAGTCGTTACGTTCAGTTAAGGATACTTCCATCAGGATATCTATGATGAAGATCAGATGGTCGAGCCGGAAAAATCACCAAAAACTATGGAAACAAACAAAACAAGAACCAGTTGCCAGCCAACAAATATACAGGATACAGTGGAGATGGATTGGACACTCGCTGAGGAGGAAACTGGGTGACATCACGCGCGTGTCAGGCCATTGCTGGAGTGGAACCAGGCCGAAGGGGAAGCGGCGAGTGGGTCGTGGTTGCAAGGGTGACATGGAGGAGATCGTGTGAAGAGGAGTTGAAACAGTATGGACTAATATGGATGCAGGTGAAAAACACAATAAAAGACAGAAGCTAGTGGAGACGTGGAGTTGAAGCCCTATGTTTCACTAGGAACCAAAGGGACCAATAATACAATAATAATAGAACGCAATTGTTGGATGGTGGCTAGCAGTGGAATCCAGGATGCGCATTTCATCCTATTTGGGACTCGTCAGCTGGATGTACCTGCATTCCTCAGTGAGTGATAATGTTCCCACGGAGGCTCGGACTCAGTGCCCATAGTTTTAAACGCCAAAGCGTTATCCACTAGACCACTTGGGCCACGAAAGCCACCTCAGTGGGAACATCATCACTCACTGAGAAATGCAGGTACATCCAGCTGACGAGTCCCAGATAGGACGAAATGCGTATCCTGGATTCCACTGCTAGCCACCATTCACCAATTGTATACTAATTAAATGCCAGACATCGTCGAAGCATCTGCACAAGAAGCCGACATGTCAACCTGAGACCGAGCACTTCGGCCCAATCAGTCGATGGGAAAATCAAAAATTCAATTGAATAAACAATTAATGGAATGTTCAAAATCGATTGTTGTCATAAATATCCGAATAAAAAAACCAAAAGTCGACAACCACCTAACGGAAACAGCACAGAGAATAATTAAATCAGTTGAAACATATAACAAAGAGTTCTTAATAGTCATCCGTCGTTATAAAGTGGGTGGTGTAGTCTCTTTACTGATAAAAAGGATTATACAGAGGAAATAAATAACTCACTGTCATTATAAAAGGAACACATTGACAGACAAAACACTGACGTTCTTAAAATAATAGAAACCAAGCAGCTAATCAACCATGAAATTGACAATCAGATTCGACCAACAGGGTCAAAATAATATCAAGACTATATGGCTTACCAAAGATATACAAAGGTGACCTGCCACAGAGGAAAACCCTAGACATTCTCGGCTCTCCATATCATTCCATCGAGAAATAGGTGATCGATATTTCAGAAACTGTAATAAAACAGATCTACTTCCATTCGATTCGTGATACCCTTCAATGTCTTGACTACATACAAGAAATCATCGTATTCAAACGAAAATGAGCTATCTCTCTTTCTCTCTCCCTTTTGACAATGAGTCACTGTTCGCCAACGTTCCACTCATGTGAATGGTCTGTCGTATTTATCAGTATATAGACACAAAACAGCTAACACTGGATTACCAGCAGCTTGATTAAAGTAACTACTAATGAGATGCACACCTAGTGTGTAATTCACGTTCAACGGTTCCGTTTAAAGGCAAAGGATTGCTTTAAAATTAGATCGCCCCTGAATCGACATAAGTCAACTAATGATAATTTTCACTTGTTTTATAGATATGTGGATAAAACTTCTATTATCCCTAATGACAGTCATGATCTTAATTAATTCTTATAGATATTCAACAACTTCTCTCTAACAACAAAGTTCACCCCCGAAATAGGAAATGAATATAAATATCCTTTTTTTGATGTTGAACTTTACGAAAAACCAAGCTAACTTCGTCCATAGAAAGCCCACATGGGACAACCAACATACAGGTTCCTACAGCTAGATACCTATTGAACGGAAGCGGAATGTGAGCATACTTTTCGCTACTCACGTCCATCTGACGCATCAGTATTTCTAATGCTAATGAAGTAGAGTTATGCTTTCCGAAATAAATCTTCATTCAAATCAGATATACAACGAGATTTATTAACAAAAATATTGAAAGAGAAAATTCTCAAAGATAAGAGACGTCATCAGTGCCGAAAAAGTGTTAAAAAATACAAACTGAAAACAGGCACAGACACTGATTCGTACATTCACTAATTGTTTGAGTGATTGGATAAGTGACTGGGTGAGTCAATCAATTCACTAACTAATTAGTTGAACAGATGAATGTTGGGTGTGAAGCGGATGATGGCCGACGGCATTACTTGACGGTGGTGGTCATATATCATGCATATGCGGATTTTGGAGAAGCAAGCCAGATCTTCATCACTCTGAAATCAACTTGGACATCTTCTACATTCAGTTTGAAAAAACATCGAAATTCGAATTATCAACATCATTGTTAAGTCAGTCAACTGTTTAATATGAATCAGAAACTCAACGTGTAGCCAAAAGCCATTTTCAACTGTCAGATGGACACTCCTATGAACAGCTAGCTGTCTTCACTGGCTTCATACTGCAGATCACGTGGCCAGGTAGAGAGAGTTACCAACAAAGAAATGTGTTGGACAATGAGCAAAACAAGATCCTACCGCTCAACAAGTATATCGACGAAAATGAAGATGGATTGGACACAGTGTGAGAAGACGGTGGAGTGAGACGGCATGTCGAGCCATCAGTCGAGTGTAAGGCGAAGAGGATAGGACAAGTTGTGTGTGTGTGGGGGGGGGTGGATGGTGACATGTGAGAGGTTGTGTGGGAATGATTAGGAAGAGGAGTAGGAGAAGTGGGGAGATGAGGTCTAGTGGAGAATTGTGAGCCATTTGAAGGAGACTGTAAGGGAGAGGAGGATGTGGCTATGTTTTGTTGAATCCGACTATTCCATTCGGCACCCAAGGGAATAATAATGTCCTTCAAGCCAGGTCACTCACTTTCCTCAGTAAAAGCTGTAGCCGTTAAAGCTTCACTTCCCCTTTAGAACGTAAGTATTCTACTTTACATAGTGGCTCGCTAAAGTACGAATGAACAAATTACATTTTAAGGAAGATTTGAACAGTGAGATGATATACACTTGGAGTTGATTGGTGACTTTTTGTTTTCTCTCATATTGCATTAATGGTACCAAAGTACATTTGAAAAACCAAAGAGTGTAATTACATAATAAGAATCATATTATGATCTTTTGAAAATTGTATTTCCACTCTTATTTTAGTTGGTACCACGTGAAACTTTCCATGGCTGATCCATGGAAGTGGGGTGAGGGTCTGGGTTGTGATTTTGTATTTCTAAGCTGTCGCAGTTATATGCAAAAGCGCAAGATGAAGTAAGATTGATAAATACTATAACCCTTTTATTTCAATTTTCTGCGTCTTAACATAAAGTTGACTAAAAACCGTTTCTTGAAACGAATTTATTGATATTATATTTTGATGAGTGGGATTGGACGCTTCACTCATAAACTATGAACTACCGAATTCTGACCAGATTATTCAGCCTTTTTTATCATTTCACGTAGAAAAGACCGATTACTTCCCAAGTTTAACAATTACTATGCTAATTGGTGAAAAATTGTTGATCTATACAATAAAAGAGATTTAAGAGTTGATCACGGATTGATATCAGTAATCAACTCTTAAAAACATAACTAACCCTTACAAACCAAACTATATAGAAAATAAAAAGATTCTTGACATGTACCAAAATTTGAACAATGAAATTATCTGGAATTTAACCTAGACGCTGAAGCAGTGTGTGTATAGTTGGAAGCACTCACACTAGTCAGTAGTGCCTACTAGACAGATAGCCATTTCGCACGTTTTAGCCGGAGTTTTCTTCATCGCTGTATCCCAGTCGACTCATCTCAGAAAGCCAAATCAGTTCAAACCTCTCAATTTCTGTCTGACTACTTCTGTAGACTGATACATACATTCAGCCAAAGTTGTAAACGCAAGTTACATCAAGGAGAGGTGTTCAATGAAGAGTTACTCTAATCACTGACGGCCTTCTCAAGCTGCATGACCGCGTATATATATATATATACAGTACAGTTTCATAGAAACAAAAAGAATGTTTCCGAAGATATATCATTAAAATTGTCAGTTTTCAGAGACAGTTATCTAATACAAAAGCGTTGATTTGTGAAAGCTAAAATATATTTATATAAGTAAATTGAGTGACGCGATATAGATGACACGATTGAGTAAGCCTCAACTAAAACTTGAAGAGGGTAACTTTTAGATCAGTGTCACGATGAGCAGGAATCCGGTAGCAGGAAGGAAGAGAAGCAATAAAATTAGGATTAACAAAAGTTTCATTTCAGATATGAAGGTAAATTAAGTCCATTGTAGGTTCATTGAATACAAAAACTTCTTCTCTATTCAGTCTTCAGGATTTAATACGGAGACTGCCACAGCTTCTGAGTTTTGATGAAGTTCTATTTGTAATATTCTGGCAAAATTCTTGCTTATTCTGTAGTTGACTTTTCTGAGGTTGATTTGCTGGTTCGCCTTGATGTCGAAAATCAATCAGGTATACGAAAATGTTAACGGCACATATTCGGAAACATTCATTTTGTTGCTATGACAATGTACTATGCGTGTATTCGACTGTACGGCTTGATGATGATATGGCTGAAAAGAGTAACCCTTCGCTAAACGCACTTTCTTCTATAAGAATCAAGTGGGATTTCAGCATGAAAATATATATTTTTTGTTCACTGATAATACTAGAGACAGATTCTAAAAGCATTTACAATAGTAGTCAGTTGAAGGGCTAACAAGTTACTTTCAACTAGGCTGTGGATTGTTGTTGATTAACATGGAATGAAAACAATTACGCCTTCAGTAAACTAGGATGTTCTCAAGTGGTCACCTGAAAGTCTTCGATGTGATGTGTGGTAAAGTGCACTCAGCTGGCTAGAATAATCAGACTACTTACTTCACACTAGTTTCCAGTGTTTCTTTCACTAACATTTCTTTCTTATAGAATATAACTGGAAATAGGTCATTCCTGTATTATACTGCTTTCCACCTGGATTATAGGGTTCCACACTTTAGCTCTAGAGTTTCAGTAGAGCTAGTGTTTTTCTGTGAGGTGACGTCAACAAATTCAAAATCAATCCGCTCTCCCTATCCTTGGCTTACCACCGGTTAGCCAAAAAGTTTATGAGTGCGCCGACCGGGATTTGGACCAGACTTTATATCATGTCCACAAACATGGGATACCAATCCAAGCTGATGTCATCAAATACTACTCAATATGGGGGGCATGTTTATTTCTGCAGTACCAAACTATTCAATAACTTCTACTCTACACACCTGTTCCTACAACTTCTTATGAAATCATCGGTAGAGTTTGACAGAGAACAAAATGCAGTTTCCTCTACTGGTTGGACAGGAAATATTAGTCAGTTTCATGGCGAATGTGTGACGTAGAAGTGAGCATTTGACAGCTGAGTAAAGTATTTTCATTTTCATTTTGCACAATCGATTCGGATTCAAGTGACGATGTTATAAAGACAAGGCCATTTGCCTGCTAATAAGGTCTTATTTAATGTTTTACATAAATTTAGAGACCACTGGAACATGTGGATGAATGGGTTGTAATAAGAAAGAGAATGGAGTTTAAGGTCTGCATCTGACTGTCAGCTAACCTATTAAGAGAATGTTATTCAAGGGAAATCTATGGGAGAGGGGAAACTCCTTTAGTTTCCTTACCATTTGATCCCCAAATTTATGTATTGATACATATGTATGTATATATATATATATTTACTTTCAGTATTTTGGTGTGGATTCTACCTAATCCTTTACTGTTGCTTTCATTTACCAACAGTAATCAACCCATTTCTCCATGGTGTGATCATATCATAGGGTATGGTGACAGTTGCCTACCGTATACAAATGCTTATGGAACATGTAATATGGTTAAATTTGTAGGCCAGCTAAAATCACATCATGTTCACTTTAACCAATCGGTTAATTCAACAGATGACGTACAAGTGACATTCGGTGGACTCGATACATTAGCTGACCGCTGTCCATTTTTAACAGTAAGTTGATGTTTAAAACCGTAAAAAATTGAAATAAGTATGCAAAAATAGTTTTGATTTCCAGTTCATTCACAAGAGATTGGAAATCCTGAAAGAAGGCTGAGGCGTTCCCAGTGTAGAATGCGACAACTGCCCTATTATTTTCTTTGGTTTTCTAACCGACATCAATTTGTGAAGAAAAAGTGTTACTTAAAATTTAATAAATCCTCAAAAATCTAACATTCAAGAATATCATTCAATTTTTGCGGTGATAGATATGTTGATTAGGTAGAATAAAGATAGCGATACAGTTGGATAAAATTGTAAATATATTGAATTACTTCTTAGGAAATCTATGAAAGTGGTTGGAAAATTTCTATCGCTTGATTTCTTCATTTATAGACTCCTAGTACCGTGATGTTTTCCTTCACTGATAGAATGATTCTACATGATTCCAAAAGTCACACTGTTTGACTAATTTTGCACGCACCGCTAGTTAATTCTACACTAAAAGAAGATTCGTTAATCAACTTCTATTCCTAACTATCAATATTTGACTAAAGTACCGATTATCCTACTGACTTTGGTGAACCGGAGATTATGTAACAAGCCGTAGGGAGTGAGAAGACTGGCATGAGTTGGACCTGTAGAAACGGCCGTATAAGAACTGAATTTTGTAGATTACTTGTATCTCCTGTTGTGAAGACTCGAGAGCTACAAATGAAAACCGACAGATTAACGGAAGAATCAATGAAGAGACGACTCCAAATGAATACAGAGGTGATAGATGTGCTAAAGATACTCAATCAATAACAACAACAACAATCAACAATCAATGTCAACATGAGGAATCTCAAGGAGTCACTTTTTCCACTTACCCACTCAAGCAACACCATTTCAGCAACAGGCCACACAGATGAAGATGGCAAAACCAGCCAACCAGAGTCGGAAAAACAAGAGTCATTTATTAAACTGATATCAGCGGGAAGAGTAAAACACTCAACCTATCTAACAGATCCGAGTTATTAACACTGATACTATTTTGATACTCCTATATAGTCAGGGGGACTTCCTTCAAATTTCTTCATCAGCTATTCGTCATCGATACTGAAGGTCAAATGGCCAGAAAGGATAAGCAACGAAGGATTCCGGGAAGCAGTCAGCAACCACCGCTGCCAAACAAATATTCAGAAAGAAACTGTAATGGATCAGACACACATTGGAACCCGAGTAAGAAATAATCGACTGATGAGTGGAGTATCCGAAGGTGATATGAAGGTGATCATGGGTAAAGGAAATGAGAGCTTTTGAACAACGGTAAAGCTACCTGAAAATAACAGTAAAGGACAAAGGACAACAGAAATTTGCTACTGAATCCCATATTCCACTAAGATTGCAAGGAACAAAGGATAATTTCAATTGTATGTGTCTTAACCCGTACAACAATCGTTAATCTGCTTGCTACATTTCTAGAAGTTACACGACTACTGTCAGAATGTGCAAAGACACTAAATTTTACTGAAGGCATTAGTCAGTTAATGAACAAACGTGTCACATTGTAATGCATGGAATAAGAAGCGTATCTTAAATTTTTCACCACAATGGTCAAATGCTTATTTTATATTATACAGTTCTGACTAAATGAGGAACAGTTTTCAATAAATGTGATAGTGCATTTAAAAAACTTGTAAGTTTCAATCATTCGCTTTACTTGTCAGAAATAATCGACTTCCGTCGACATTTGATTTTATAAGTGACAACTGAAGTCACAGTATAAAATCAAATCCCATGACTTAGTAACCAAGCAACCAAATTTATGAGTAGAAGGTTCGGATGTTAGGAAAAACACTATCAAGTTCCTGAGATAGCTTAACATCTGACCAACGAGCGCACATAGGACAATACAAGTGTCCTAGATCAAACACACCAAAACAGTATACGCGTCTATGGCACAGCGGTTAGGATTCTCTCGGACCATGCACATGGCCGGGGTTCGATCCCGGCCACCGACGCACTCCTCCCTTACCTGGCTAAGCCAGGAATAATGCTCGTAAAGAGGTAAGGTTGGGCATGAGGTTATCAACCCCATCATGTAAAATTAAACACTGCTACAGAAATTTCAAGCCACTAGCTTGAGGCCCTATGTTCCACTGGGAACAGACTGTGCTTGCTACTACAGTAAACATTTTCAAATATAAGCAGAAGAAATTCACTTAAAATCTGATTTCTTGATGATGTAACTTAAATCGTTTGAACTGATTAACTGCATTCATCTTAAGATGTTTATCAATATTGCTCAGACTGTCTCTATCTTCACCTGACTAAACCCGCCAAATTAATATACCCTGTGCTCTATTATTATTATAATTTCATGAAATTGGATACATATATATGTGCAAGATGCAAACAAAGCATTTCACAGAAGAGGTTAGTAAGTGCATTTCAGCATCCTTGTGGAGTCCAATCTGAGTACTTTAAAAATAATAGATACTCCATCACTTTCGATAAATTCAATAAATTAGTCAAGGCCAAGAGTTTAACCATGCTCAGATTTTCTTAATCCGCAACTTTCTTTTTCTACATTAAAACAAGTTGAAATTCACATGTATAAACTGACAAGTCTTAGTTATTACCCAGTTAATTGTTATTCTCTTGTCTACTTTTCAAGCCACTCACTCATGTTAACGGCCAAGAGAAGAATTCTCATTGCGGTGATATAAACAATCGAAAATATGAAAGTAAGCTTTTCGAATTTTGAAGACATTTGTAGAGGTATTTGCGTGCATGAGTGTGTGGGTGTGTTTGTTTGGGTGTGAACTGAGTAGGTATTTAGCCACTGGGATTAGTTCTTCAAAGACAATTGCATTTACAGTCTCCTGGTTAAAAATTAAAACGATTTTCTCTGAAGTTAATTTAACTGCTGTAGCTACTTCAGGATAAATAAAATACATTGGAATCAAAATCCGACTCTTACTCACACGCTCACACACACATTCTCTCTCTATACATACATATACATACATGTGTCTGTATGGAGGTCAGCAGCACTCAGCATGACAATGAAAATAAGATCCGGATTTTCAACTCCAATGTGGAGTCAGTGCTTCTCTACGGATAAGAAACTTGGCGCGTCATAAAGAGCACCTCAAACAAGCCACAGACGTTCATTAGCAACTGTCTTCGCTCAATACTTAGGACCAGATGGCCAGAATAGATCAGAAACAGGGAGGAGTCCCTGGGAGCGGACCAACCGGGAACCGACTGAGCAACAAATATACAGGAAGAAATGGATGTCGTTGGCCATATTCTGAGAAAATAAATTATCAAGTGACATAAGATGCCAGCCCATTGCTAGAGTGGAACCCGAATGGGAAGCAGAGAGTCGGTCTTCAAAAGGTGATATGGAGGAGGTCATGTGAGGAGGAGATGAAAACATGTGGGCAGACTTCGAGCCAGGTGAAAACTCTAGCAGAGAACCGAACGCAATGGAGACGCACAGCTGAAACCCTATGGTCCTCTAGGAATTAAAGGAAATAATAATATAAAATATATACATGTATTCAATTCTGAGAGAGATGAAATCTTTGTTTTCGGTTCTGTGAAGGTCTCATTGATCTGGAAGAACCTATCTTAAAGTCAAAGATAGACACAACACTGATACCAAAAGCATCAAAAATATTACTATCCATGAAAGCAAAGCATATGTGACCACCTCCACATGATTATGGCCAATAAATTGTGTATCGTAAATAAATAATACTGCATCACTGTGTGCGTCGGTGGCACAGCAGTTAGGACTCTCGCCGACCATGCACATGGTCCGGGGTTCAACCCCTCCAGACGCACATCTGATATCTATGGTTGGCCTGCAAAATTTGGGCTACCGATATCTCTGCTGGAAATTTCATACTTGTACAGAAAATACGGTGTGGCATCAAGCTGTAATCAAAATGAAAAACAAAAAAACAAAAAATAATTATATTTTTCTAGTATTGAAGTAAGCTAAAGGAAACTGGAAAAACCTTTTTTTTAACTAATGTGGGATTCTGAACTATTTGGACCGATGGATTGTGAAGGATCTTTCGGTTGTAACACACAATACTGTATTCTGATTGTAATCTTAGTTCTTTAGTACTGTCCCGATACTAATGAAAAGGCTGTGAAGAAAAAATTTGCTTCCCTGTGAAACCTTTGAATAAGCGAAAAAATACGGCCTCACTAGTTTCTTTTAAAAGACCAATGAATTTCTAGTTTGTTACAGAAAACTTGCTTTCGAATCTATATACGGGGTATACATGAAAGTCACAAGCCCAAACGACAACTCTTCAACTGAAAGGCTTTTTGGGTTTAGCATCATGCAGACTTTGCTTTACTGCTGCCTAAATCCTCGTTGATTTTAAAACATTTAAAAAGTAATCATTCACATCTGTAGTCAAAAATATTAGCGGACATCTGAGCCGGGAGGAAGTAATCTCCGTACAAGGGAAGGTTGGGCACTAGGCTAGCAACTCCATCTCGTGGAAATAGCACAACTGCTACTGAAATTTCAAAGCTGAGGCTTGATTTATTTCATACGTCCCAAATTACCAAAATGCTGCTAATAGTAATATTGAGTGAGAGCCTATAATTGAGAGGGACAACTTTGAAAACAATAACAGTGCCCAGTAGCTGGCTTCATTCTACTGATATCAACCAAGTGATGATCCTTTTCATCAAGCTCCTTAGATTCTTCCTTTATCAGTTAAAATAGTAGTGTGAGTTTATCCTCTTACGTCTACAATCTTGTCAAGGTCTGTCGATATTCAAAATTCTGGTGAAGAAGCGTATCAATTTCTCTACTTGATTACAGAAATATTTTGTAATTATTGTTGAATCCCCTTATGAACGAGGACTTACGGTGATTTCACTTCTCAGTATTGAAATGAGATAAGTGGTTTGACTATGTTTGAACCACATATAATGAAAGTCGAATAGGGGGAATAGAATCTATTTGCCCTTGTGTGTTATCCGCAATTATTCTCTTCGGCAATGAGATGGATATCTGAACTGTAAAACTTTCATTCTTTTTCGGGACATTATCCTCAGCTTTGACTTCCACCTGAAGCGAACATTATGAATTCACTATTGATAAGATATTCAGAGGACAGTAATCCGTTTTCTCCTGGATGTTTTTATGTTACACGAATTTAGCGCTGAAAAAATGTCTGTCCTGTAGAACAACACAAGAATTGAAAGCAAAAACATCCATCTTAGCTCTGAACTTGATCAGTTGAACACAATAAAATGCATAGAAATTTAGCGGTCGTTGAAATTCGTTGGTCAGTAAACTTAAGGTAAGAGAAAACCAGGGGCAATTCACTCAACTTAAGATTCAACACAACGGTCTTCTAGTGCTTTGGTAACGATTCACAAAACAGGGCGAAACAGACTTCTTGTGTAGTGTCTAATGATGTTGATATATCAGCATTCTATAAAGTTTACCATATCAGGTGGACTGAGAATACTGTCATCACGAAACGTCAAATATAATTGAGAAAAACCGATCCTCCATCCCTTGTATAAATCCAAAGAACACTTCAGTAGATGCTTGGATCCTCAGAAGGTTACAACACACTAGGAAACCGAAGTAATTTCGGTTAATTGTTGTGGAGGGTAGAGGGATAAGTATACCTTGTGGAAACAGACTATTGTTATAATAAAAGTACAATTTAATGTGAAGTTACTTTTATTGTAAAATACGACTGTGTGGACTATTAATTAATTATTCAACACTTGTAAACTTAATATGAAATCTAAGATTTCCTAACTATTATTAATGTAGCAAAGAATTTAAGCTATTCACTTTTCAGATTGACTGATTTCAACACATGCTTCGAATACAATATTCTTCATAGCATAATTCAATTAACTGATTAGTGAACAATGAATATTCATTTAGATAAATTTATCACCCGCAATTCCTGCATTTATATGACAATAAAAGTTGAAGACATATTCTTACTGACAACAACTCAGAGTTATATAATACGCATCAATCGAAAACAACTACCCTGGAAAATTCGTCTGTGAACACATGACCAAGAGAGGAGAAAGGAGCTATTCTGATTCTACCACAAGGAAGCCTCTATACATACGACTACAGTTCACAGGTGATATGCCAAGTGAAGTAGTAACCAACAAGCTGAGAATGTCGATTGAAGGAAGGCTTAATACCTGTAACCTGCTGCTTATATTCTCCGCACAATCAGCTGTGATTCCGTACTGAAAGGTGACATGTGTAGGGTAGCGACCGCTGATTATATGTATATCCCACTGCTCCTGTGAAGATAGTTATTTTGACCATTGCTCAAGTAAACTAATTTTCGTGCTTGTAAACACACCACACCTACCATTGTCATGCAATAAAGGTATCTTTAAAAACATCAACAGTTCTGTATTAAATCACCTCATTCAAACAGGTCACGAAGCTAGCCAACCTTGAGGTATCTTTCTCTGTTATCTATGGGGTGTCCAGTAAATTACCAAAGGCCTCTAGATACTGAACACTGCAAACAAAAAAGACCATTGTGATTCGCCTAGGACAACCGGAGCTGTGCATGTTAAATAAACAGGTCCAGCCACTACTACTACTACTACTACTACTGCCCTGACCTGCTCTTCAACTTATGAATTCATACAATCTGCCTTATTCCCTTCAATGTTTCTGATATTCAGTCAGTTTAATGGTATTACAATCCACATTGCATGTCTCTCTCTCTCCTCCAGCTGATGCTTTCGAAGTGTAATCTGTAGACACTAGTAACTCAATGTAATTTCAAACAGCATTATTTTTGTTAGTAAGAATATGTATGTCTCCAATTGTTACTGTCATATAAATATTTAGACTTGTTGATGACGAATTTATCTTAAAGAATATTCGTTGTTCATTATTCAGTCTTTTTTATATTATTCAATATTCAATTTTGGTGAAATCTTAATTATGCTTAAACTTTAGATTTTAATGATGTTCAAAACCTTCAGTATTATGGGAAAGCTTCTCGGTGTTTCCGCTATGGCACAACTTACTACAACGAACCACATCACAATGCCTATAGAGCAGGTTGTTATCAGGTAACTTTTTTGTGGCGTATGTGTATGTGAAATGCTATCATGCATTTTGTTTATTATTTTTAAATTAGAAAAGTCCTCTTTCACGATAACGACCGATTTTGTGAATGACATTTTTACCTAAGGATATTTAGGATTTACTATTAATGCACCTGATGAAACGTGGTTTCTGTGGTGTGTTTTCTTTTAACTGATGTATTCAACCTGCTGTGTTCCGTTGGTCTACTGAAATCAAATCTAATCCGAAAGAGGTCGTTCACCCAAACTTGTTTGCTCTCTCTTCAATAGTATGATGCGTATTTTCCATGTTTTGATAGGTGGCAGGTGCAACTACAGAACTCTCAGTATTCGGTTGGAGGTGGTTTATTCGGTGAAATGATGCTACCTACATCAGCGGCAAAATATAAAAAACTTCCCGAAGGGATTTCAATTCGCATGCCTTTCCTTTCGTTTTCATTTCATGCTGTCTATACTGTCTCAAATCATCTTCATTTCCCCACTTCCCAGACTTAATCTGTCACTCTGCTATTCAAGATTCTTTAAAAGAATGCCACTGGCATACTACTCACAAATCTTTGTCAGTAGTACAAACTACACAAGAACCACTCAGCAATAGAGGAACTCAATGGGTTTCTTTGTTACACTGTCAAACTTGTCGAAGTGAATCTAATATCTCGATAAGTAGTTTAAAGAACTCTGAATTGCCCATCATTCTTATGTAGAGTATGTTTCACTTCGGTTTCTCAACGGGGCGAAGCTATCACAAGTCTTTCTCTGTACCTACGGTTCTTCTTTAAAACCAGGATACAACTCAGATTCGCATAAAACGTTGATCGCATTTTTGATAACTGTTGAAAATTTGATAATATTTTAAATTTTCCATTTAGATAAAATGCACATCGTCTTTTAAACTCTCTATACAATTTCATGGTGAATGGTTCACATGTCCACGAGAAGGTGGTGAAATAAAAGTAGCCAAAGATACTACAAGTGAAGATTGGATTCAATGCCCTCCCTATGATGAATTTTGTTCGGTGAGTAATGTGTGTGATGATCAGGAAAATTTCAAATGCATGACTATATATGTGTTACTCAATGACTTATATAACTAGTTGGATAGCACTCACACCAACCAGAAGTGCTTGCTAGTTACCCAGATCGAGGTGACCGAAACACAGGTCGGATTGGTTTTCAGGTAGGAAAGAATTACTGCAGAACAAAATTACTTAACCAAAATTAGTCGTAGGAAGTACAAGAGAATCATGAAGAATATTCTTGACAAGGTGGGATCAAAACTCTCTCGGTAAGAATACCACACACACACATAGACATACACACACACTAAACCATTCTCACAGACACTCCAAGATCAGAATGACACATTATCAATATCATACGACAACCAAGAGGAGAAGCCGTGAAATTAGAGAATAAAGAAACAAAAAGACGAATAATAAGCATTAAGTAGACAAATGATATACCAATATCGGGAAAGTGATATACAACCTAGGGGATAAACGAATAATTATCTCAAAGTTAGTGGAAACCTCCAAATAAACATGATTATTGTAAGTGGCTCGTTCAAGAGAGATTTTCTACACAATTATTCTGATACAGTATTGTTCCAAATCAAGGTGTGTTACAGGATTTCATCATGAGCGGAAATTGATTAGAGAACGATTGGAAAACCTGCAGGGAGTACTGGACAGCTGTTTCCCCGTCCTAGTTTGGGACTTTTCAGCAATACACACCCACACGGCGGGTTTTGAACCCAGGACCTTCTGGATACAAGGCGAGCTCGTAGAACAGTCAGCCAGTGGGACCCGATCCATTCGCCAGCCCATGAATTCTAACTTCTGCCAACTCATGACATAGCGCAACCTCTGGCTAATGTCTTCGACGAGTATTTATCCTCACACCTGACCTGTTGCAGCCTACTGGTCACAAGTTCTCACTAGAACCCCAGGTAACTACCTACCTGAATAGGGCAAGTTGCCAGTGAGCATTTCATTGACATTCAAGTGCTGGTTTGTAGGGATTTGATTGGTTACAAGGTTTTATCATGAGCTGACGGGAGGAGGAGGGCATGAGCAAGGCAAGGCTTTCTACTACCGCCAATGATCTTACTGATTCCAGTAGATTGGATAGTGCGACAGAAAACCGGCAATGAGGAAAAAGGCATAAAATGGACTCACACAAAAAGAGACTTGGCGGATCTGGACTTCGCCGATGATATATGTCTGATTTCCCACAAACTGGAAGATATGCAAGTGAAAAGCAACAAACTGGCAGAAGAAGCATCCAGAGAAGTTAGGACTCCAAGTGAACATACACAAAACAGAGGTGATGAATATTCCTGGCCAACAGCAACAGCCACGGCAACAACAACAACAGACAACAATCAGCCAGCATAAATGGGAGGAACCTGAAAGAAACAACCTCCATCACCCACCTACCTGGGAAGCATCGTTTCAACTACAGGCGGACGGAACTGACGAGGATATCAAAGCCAGAATCGGAAAAGCAAGACAAGCTTTCATTACTCTTAAGTCTGTGTGGAGGTCAACAGCACTCAGCATGGAAATGAAAATAAGATCCGGATTTTCAACTCCAATGTGAAGTTGGTCAGTGCTACTATACAGATCAGACACTTGGCGCGTCATAAAGAGCACCTCAAACAAACTTCAGACCTTCATTAACAGTTTTCATCGCTCAATATTACTCAAGATCAGATGGCCAGAAAAGATCAGCAACAAAGATCCCTGGGAGCTAACCAACCACTAACCAATTGTGCAACAAATAAGCAGGAAGAAATGGAGATGGATTGGCCATACTCTGAGGAAACCATCAAGTGACATCACTAGACAAGCCATCGCTCGAGTGGAACCAGGTCGGAAGGGAAGCGGCGAGTTGGTCGTCAGTCCAAGAGTGACTTGGAGGAGGTCGTGTGAAGAGGAGATAAAAGCATGTGGGCAGGCATGGAGCCAGGTGAAAACCCCAGCAGATAACTGAACGCAGTGGAGACGCGCGGCTGAAGCCCTATGTTCCTCTAGAAATTAAAGGATAAAATAATTATAATATTAATAATATCAAAATTTTTCCAGGTGAACAGAATTAGCTTAAGGAAGCTTAAAAGTCTAATTCAAAAAGTTCACTTCCAATTAAATTTCTCATATCATTATTCTTTCTCTTCGTAATTTCAGGTTAAAAAGACTCGAGAGAGAAAGAGGAGAGTGGAATCGAATCAAATTGAAGATTATCTCAGATCAGGAAACAACATTTAATATGCATTAGCATATAAACATACACCATATATATACATATATACATGATGTTTGGAGTGCAATAATTACTTCCTTCACAAGTTTACCAAGCAGTCTCGTCAATTGTTTATTTCAACAGAATTGGAACCTACGTCCCTTACTTTTATCTTTTACGTAGTGTTTAATATTTCGACTTTGGGTGTAGTTTCCTATCAAACTGAAGTATGATATTTTAAAACTGCATAACACCTGTACAGAAATTGTATTCTCAGTATCTCGGTAATTCTTTTTGTTAGAATAATAAATGGATTTTATAAAGATGTTTTGTGTTTTGCTTTTAATGCATTGCATAACAGATTAATGTAGAATTATAATCAGTGCAGAATTCGTTATGAAATCAGAGATGCTAGGGAACTTTGCATCGATTCAAGGTAATGACTTGTTATTATATTTATATGACTCGGACTAGCATGAAAAATCTGTTAGGTGGTTAAACAGTTCCTGGCTTCTACTGAACCCTAGACTTCAAACTGAATGGTCGGTTGAGGATGCAATTCATTAGAAATAAGAGAACACGAAATTCAGCAAAGATATGTGTCTTTTCGGCGATTTCATTCTCAAAAGCAGCTGTACAATCCCATTTATATAGATTATTTTACATGGATACAATCATTATTTATCTGTTTAATTCCACATAGTAACAAATGTGATAATATTATAAATTATTTAAATTAATCCCAGCGTGTTAAGAAAATCAAAACAAGATTTTTCTGAACGTTTCGCCGTGTAAGCCACAGCTTGTTTTTTTGTTCCCTGGGATTCCTAGTGGAACATAGGGCTTCAACTGCCCGTCTCCACTTGCTTGTGTCTTTTACAGTACTTTTCATCTGCATCCATGTTAGTCCATACTGTTTCAACTCCTCTTCACACGATCTCCTCCATGTCACCCTTGCACTGACGTCCCACTCGCCTCTTCCCTTTCGGCCTGGTTCCATTCAAGCAATAACCTGATGTGCGCGCGATGTCACCCAGAGGCCTCCTCAGCCAGTATCCAATCAATCTCCACTTTCTTCTTTCTCATATTTGTTGAGCGATTAGTTCTTGCTTTGTTTCTTCCCATAGTTCCTTGTTGATGATTCTTTCCGGCCCGGCCATCTGATCTTCAGTATAGATCCAGCGAAGACAGTTGTTGATAAAGGTCTGCAACAGGCTGTTGGAAATATTCTTTGTGACCCGCCCGCCAAGTTTCTGATCCGTATAGAAGAAATAACTGGCTTGACGCTATTTGTATTGAAAATCCGACTGGATTTTTTTGTTGATGCTGGCTTAGTGACGAAGATTTCCAGATTGATTTCAGGTTGATGATGCCTTCCCGATTCTCGCTCGATCTGACATCCTCGTCCGTTCCGACTGCCTGTAGTTGAGACAGTGCTCCCTAGATAAGTGAATGAACGAAGCAACCTATTTCAAATCCCTCCCGTTGATGGTGATTGGAGTTGGATGTTGCTGTTGTTGTTGTTGGTTGGTTGGTTATTTTCATAACCTCCGTCTTGTCTGTGTTCACCTGGAGTCCTGTCTTCTCTGGCTGCTTCTTCGACCAGTTTGTCGGTCGGTTTTTGCTCGCTTGTAAGTCTTCGATTTTGTGTGACATCAAGCATGAATGATCCCCGCGCGGAATCCAGGTCTTCTAGGCTCTTCACGTCGGTCTGTCCAGGATATCCCTGTCTTCTCGTTTCCCACTCACTGTCTGACGTATAATCCAGTCCACCACAATTACGAATATCATTGGTGATCATTCAACATATGACAGTTATCTATGCCTCACTATTATTACTAGTAGTATTAGTACTGTGGCGTGTGATGCTTAGAAGTATTTACAAGTAGTAGTTTTGGTGACATAATTCGTAGCTCATTCGTAGCGGTGCCACCACATACACTGCTAACCTTCAGTTTATTTTTCGCGTTGGTTCACTTTTGTTCCTTTCTACTATGACTACAGTACTCAATAGCTGTCCAGTACTCGTTTCTAGCTCACCAGCTGTTCATTGGTTGTGCGGCATTAACCAATTGTAATGCTGGGAAATGACGTTTGGAACATTCTAGCTAGACTTTATCACCGGTTGTTGCGACTGTGACTGTTCCTCAAGCGTCAGAATTTCTCACTGAATTAGATTTGTCAACTTTAGTACCAACATCAGTGGTTATGCATTTTATCCAGCCTTCGTGGTACAGAGCTCTCATATTTCCTCCACCCTCAGTTGTTCTACTAATAACTTGTAGGATTTCTTCCCACTTGCGCACTCCACGCTATCGTGTACAGCCTCCGCACAATCTCTCAGGAACATCTGCAGCATCACTGCCTTCACGATCGGATCTTTGATGCCCAACAACTTAGCAGTGGCTACAAAACGCCACAGAAAGCTGAAGAGGTATTCCTCTCCGAAAGCTGCATGCCATAGGATCTACGTTTGGTTGACAGCAGAAATATCACTTATAAAGGCTCAACCTGTGACGTCTGATAGCAGAATTGTTCATACAGAATAACAGCGAAATATAAAAACCCTAATTTTACACTTCACTTTGTAAAGTTATTGGATATCTGGGCAATGTTAAACTATCATAGCCAAAACCAGTGGTCTTGAATGACCAATCAGTATTTAGATGCCACAACGTCTCATAATCGTGGAAAAATGCGCTAAAAAACACTGCAGACATGATATGAAACTATATACTGGCCACTTATGTGTTGTAACAATTCCTCTCAGGCACCACACAAATGATCTAAATAGAAATGAAACCATGCATGATAGGTGGGTTATTCAGAAATCTGTGATGCATAGCACTTTGAGAACAATTGATATTTCTGAAACTGTTCTTTGACCTACTCTTAACTCTAACCCTAGTCCTAGCACCTAATCCTAAATTTAAGCCAGCCAAGTTAAAGAAGTTTAATCACCGGTAAGTACCGCTTATGTTGGATATCCAATGTAGTTTTTATGAGCTAGGGTAAACCAATCTGATTTATTTGTGCTCGTTTGTTCATTGTGAGGTAGAAATTTCTGATCTTCCGTAAAATTTTGCCTAGTTTGTCCCATCACTCAATAGTCATAGCTTTGGTTGACTCCAAAAGGAGTGATGCTGGGATTAATTATATGTTATTTGTAGTATGCGGTGTATTAAGACTTTTTTACAGCTGTGGATGGAGTTGATGCTTTCACCAGTAAGTCCTACGGTTTCATCGACAAAACAAAAGAGTTAGTAATAATGACCGATATAATCAGATTTTGTGTGAGGAATTTCAGGGAGATCGAAAGCAGGGTGAAAAGAAGTGGAAGTGCAAGTGAGTCTTCGCAATTTACTGAGCTATACTTCTGGAATTTCCACGAGGAAGCTAGCAGCTACTTGATGCCAGAACATGTTTGTTTCGGGGATTCTGTTCATTTGTTTTCTTGTAGGCGGTAGCCAAGTCCTCCCTAAGCCGCCGGTAGCTAAGTGTGAAGTGACCTAATTTCTTTAACCGTTCATGATACTGTTTGTTTCGGAGACCCATTACTCCTTCCGTTTCCCGTCTTTAAACACTTTCTAAACGGTTTGTGTCTCTTCTAAGCAGTGGGGGTGCAATGATATTGTGCACTTGAAGGTGTGGTCTGACTTACTCTTTGTAAAAACTTAGCTCAGGAGTGAGTGCGTCTAGTTTTCTATGTGTAAAGTGTATGACCACATATGCCCTGGCTACATCCCCTGTGTAATTCACACTTGTGTTCATTTTCCCGTTAGAACTGGAACAAAGTCACGCTCCGAAGATTGCAGGATAAGCTTTCGTTGTACAGGGTGTAACTTGAATTTTGAAGCCTACAAGTGCGTAATTTCACTGCTTTGCACATTTTCGGGTTGAAAGCCATACCATTGGCCAAAGGCCAGTCTTCCAGGAGATAAAGATCTGTGAAAGTTGCACAGACCTACAGTAAGATTGAAGTTGAACAGGACTTGAAGCCACTTACTTATGTATACCATATCATTTTTCAAGCTTTTGGCTCGTAATAACTCAAAATCCTTGAAAATCTGTCATATCAGGACGCTGTATAACATCGCATACAAGCAGTATCCATGACCTTAAGTGGTTTACAAATACATTTTTACATGTTAACCAACTTACTTGCACGGAAAAGACATGCGACAGTAAATAGTGGCACACACAGCTTGTGAAGAGGCTGAGCAAATGAAGGTTACTTATGCTTATTTTGATTAGTAGATTTTTCTTTACGCAAACGTTGTGGATAATACACACCGCATATTACTGGAGCAGACTTTGAAATAATAATTCGAATTCAAAAGAAGGCTTCAGTTCGCTGAACAAATATAGCCTACCTCTTCTGTTGTTCATAACTTTGACTTCTTCTATTGAGACGGTTGGTAATTACAAAGTGTTTCGATCCGAGTTTGTTTTCTACTTTTTACATTTTACCCCAGCGTGCTTGATATATTGTCTGTGCTGTTTTATTGCAGAATATGGAGAGCCTACGAAACTCATTTAAATCAAAGCGAGATATGAAGAACTCGGGATCTTCTGATATTACGTGCGCGTTTGATCGAGGAGACGATATCAAAGTGCCACCGGAGAAGTCACTAACCCCATCGACTTCGCCGACCTCAAAGCCTACTGCTGACATGATTCAGGCACCGGTGGAAGCATTCCAAACAGCTTTGATGACCACTGACAAAAGCAGAGTCGTGAAATAACAAAGCTTAAGTAAAATTTTCTGCACCAGAAAAGTTTGTCCCAGGGGAATCGTTCGCTTTATGGGAAGAACAGTGTCGGCACTATATTCAGCAATTCAACAAAGATCAAAGAACTAGCCCTATCATGTACTCTTTATCGATACCGGCACTGAAACGACTCAAGCTAGCTGGGGTTAAAACTGAGGGGGGACGGTGGAGGTAGAGGAGCTGTTGACAGCCATGAGTCGAGCATTCGCATCACACACCCATGTTCTGGGACAACAGGCTGCCCTCTATGCATG